CTCTCTCTCTCTCTCTCTCAAATACACACACTCAGCACCCCCCCTCCCACACACACACACACTCAAAATACTATATCATCTATCAAGCATTCTTCCGAGAAGACTCCATTAATTACGTTTTTTTTAAATGAAAGTGTTCTTTCGTCCCAGTTGACACAACTATGATTATTAATTATACTGAAGAACAACAAAATAAAATGAATCTAAAAGGAACAATGCTAACAAAATCAAAAGAAACATCAATAGAAGCAATAAAGTCCAGTAAGGGTATGGGTTTAAAGCCGTTATCAACACTGTTAGATTATCTCATAAAAGAAGACCTCTGAATTCATCGCCCGTCTCCGATAGAACCGAGCCAAATGGATTGAGAGTCTTGAGAACCCCACAAAACGGCCCGAGTTCAAGAACGTCCAGACTGAGATTCTAACCAGAACTGCCCCCTCCGTAGTCCAGCATGATACTTACTGAACTGACGGAGCGCTTGCAGAAACAATGAGCTACAATACAAGAATTCGCTACCTTAGAATGACGTGTACAACGTTCTATCTTCTCAGTATCGAATTTTGAGAGATTTGACGTTCAAAAAAAAAATATTTCACAATAAGATGGCAAGCTTTTTCGCGAGCAATTCTTTGAATATCTTGATAACAACTCAGATTATCTTATGATTTTGATAGAGAATTTGATTTCTGATCTTATTGTTTTAGTAACTCAAAACGGCCAAAAATATAAGATAGAACTTCATAATTCTGAGGTAGCGATTACTGTAAAAGAAACAGCAAAAAAGAAACCTCCGCCCCGTGCAGTAGAGCTGGACAATGAGTCGCTTTAGCAAAATCCGGATAATATTATTATGTTAGTGCACCTCTTCCGTCTTCGGCAAATAATATGATAGAACCTCTTCTGCAAATGGGTTAGAACCACTTCGACAAACAGCTTAGCATCACTTCAACAAATGAGTACACCCACTTCGGCAAACGGGTCAGGAAAGTTAGTTAAGAGTCTGAATTCGGACAATGTTTCATTGCTAATTATTCGGTTATTCAGATAGATTATCCGGATTTTGCCCACCTCTACCGTGCAGCACGATGGAATCCCTACCTTCTTTCACGTATTGCGCGAGCCTTCCTTTTCCGAGATGGCTAATGTGTGCCATTAACTAAGAATACGACGGGCGGTTGAGGGTGGGTTTAGATGTTTCCTTTGTGATCAGTTGATCACAGAGCTCGAGCAAAACAAATCAACGGATACCACGCGAATAGAAAACCCCTGCCGTTATGTCACTGCTGTCTTGTCTGCGAGGCGCAAGATTTCGGCAGGTTTTATAGAGAGAAAAGAGAGAGGGCACGGAGCCACGTGGTAATCTGCGACGTGAAAACTGCGGGGGATCAGCCTGTCAGCACTCCGCACCCGCCTGCCCCATT